TGGAAGTTTGGGAGAGGGATAATCCTGTAATCTCTGTGATCTAAAACTGAGCAGAGGATGTGGCATAATAAATCCAAAAAAATAGATTCCTGCTTCTTTCAGTTCTGACTGCTCAGAGAGCAGACATGGTAGACATGGATCTCTCTCATCATGTTTTTAACATCATTAAATGGAGTGGCTGGTCCTCAGAAATTCAAAATAGCCCAGCAAGAGTTGCAAGGACAGGGATTGACCTCTACCTTCCCATTTTTGGCTTCAGGAATGTCCCATGTGTCCCCAGGCACAAGGGAGAAGAGCAAGGGCTGTTCAGGTTTCTGAGATGTTCCTGTGGCTCCAAGATGTTCAAAGTACATCCTATGGCTTCTGTTGGGAATAAAAATAAATGGAGAGGTGAAGGACAATCACTTCTGGATTATTTTTTCCCCATCAAGGCAATTAAAGCCAACTAAAAAACCACAAATTTTCAATTTGAGAGGATAACTGCTAAGGAGTATTTTAAGGTTATTTGGAATATTTTGCCTGCATTTATTTAATGTTGCTATTTAATGTTGAAGATGCCACTGCACCTTCTCTTAGCATCTTTACAAATGTTATGTCATCAAGTGCACTCTTTCTATTTGGATCCAGATACTAAAACACAGTAGTAAATTTTATGGGTTTGTTTGGTTTTGCACTTTTTGTGGATTTCACAGATTTCTTGTTTGTGATCAATCAATGCCTTTTTTTAAAATTCCCTTCAGAGCAGTAGCCACGAAGTCCTTTCCAAAGGACAAAGAGAGGGCAACTACTTCTAGGAGCCCAATCTTGACTGCTTCGGAGTATTGTCAATCTTTGGCTGGCGAATATTTTGTAGAAAGATTCAAGGATTCCACAAACACAAAATTGAATCCTCATTGAAGGATTATTATCCTTTTTCTTTTCTTTACATATTTTTTTTTAAGCTAGTTGTCATTTCTGATATTGCTTCAAAGGTCTGGATGGAGAGCTCGAGGTGTACCCAACAGATCAACGTTGCATCCCTTTAAGTGTCTGCTCTGGCTGGGGGGGATCAATTGCAGAATTTTGGGGCTTTTCTTCATTTCCATTTGCAGTGCATGGACCTCATCTCTCCCTGGGCACCTGGCAGTGCAAACTCTGTTGGGGTGGATCTGATCCGGGTGGGATTAGCAGAGGGTCAGGTCCCGTGCACGGCGCTGCTCTTGTGCCGTTCCACTGCTGCCGCTGCTCTCTGCCAAAGAGCTCCATCCTCGATTGGCAGCTGGCAGCAACGCAGGAGAGGTGCACACTGTGGAGCAAAATAAGTCAGAACCAATTAATGTTTGTACCTTTCGCTGCTCTCTAAGAATCGTTTACGGATAATTCTGGAAATTCCATGACTGGGGGTTGTCTGTGGTGTTTTCTCCCTTGTCAGCGGCTCAGACTGGAGCAGAGATGTACCAAAGTGAAACAGTACATATGCAGTCATTACTCAGCAAATTAAATAAATATACAATAATTGCTTATTTTGCTTAAGGGACTCCATACAGTAACAACACTTGGACAAAGAAATTCTCTGCTTTCCCCCATTTCTGTATTTTCTGCATGCCCAGATGAAAATAACATGGCATCGTGTTAGTTTTTTGCAGAGACTGAATCCACATAAACCAGAGGTTTTGATCTCCCTCAATCTGTTTGAAAAGGAATTATTTTGGTGCCTTTCTGGGTTTGCATGAATGTAACTATTATCATTTCCTTTTAAAGTTCAGCCCCACTGCCAAAGGGAAAATTTCTCAGCATAGAAAATGAGTAAGCAGCAGCTTTTGGTTGCTACATCGTTCCATATAAATGAACTGCTTTAATTGATTCTAAATGCAATTAAATAAAATTATCTATAAATTGGTAAACGTATCCATGGCTGCAAATAAAAACTCAGCCTGCTTGAACAGGCTTTCTTCTTTCTGATAAACATCACAATGTCTCAGCCTTTGATTTTGGGACTGATGTACAAAGGAGTTTCTTCCAGATCAAGACAAATCTTCACTTGGGCATTCCAAAGCTTTCCCACCCTCTGTTTCAGTGAGCAATGATCATGCTGGAATATGTGCAAGGATCTTTATGAAAACATTCCTTAAATACTATTGAGAAGGTCTAAGTGTCCACTGTAGATCTGTAAATAAAATGTGATATAATGACACCAAGCGTGTGCAAAAATGTAGAACGTCTTGGATGTGTTTGGACCAAGGGTGGATCAGACCTTGCAGGGAGTTATGGGGGGAAAAAGCAGATTTTGATACTGTTTTTAATCAGCAAAATCAAGCTAAAGATGCCATCACTCTGTGCCTGATGGGTTGAGCTCTCTATCCCAACAGCCCCCGCACTTCTGGGAAAGTGGGATGGAATTTGGGGAAGAGGCTCCTGTTAATAAGATGGGAGAGTCCAGACATTTTTTTATACAGAGAGCAAGATTCCTCTGTCAAGTTCTGCTGTGCAGAACTTTCAAATGATGCACAAGTGACTCCTGGGGGTGCATTTGTCTGTGTCCTGTGACGTGGGGATGTTCTTTGGGTGAGAAGGACGTGGAGGAGGAAAACACAGAGGAGGGAAGAGCTGAGCTCGGGGAGGTTGATGCTGACGTGGGCTTAGGCATGAACTTGGGACAAGAATATAAATTTGTTCTGTTCATATTTCTCACTGGTATGAGGCACTGCAGTCATGCAATTCACCCTTTTTCTTAGGCTGACAGTCATTGCCAAGGCTTGATTTTGGATCTCCTGGTTATGTAGGGGTTTGTTATTGTCCTTCCTTTGGATTAAGATGCACTGTAGGGGTTTTTATTGTTATTATTTAAAGTTCATATTGATTTTTTTTGAAGAGTGTCTTTAAAAGAATCTCTCTTCATCAACCATGTTGATATAAAAGCACATTACTATATTAATGGCCTTTGAATACTGTCCATTAAACTTTGACATTTAAAGTGTTTACTGTGAATACATATTAAGTTTCTCATTAAAGACAAGGTCTGGTTTTCTTGATGTGACTCTTAGATTAAATCAGTCTAATCCAAAATAAATACAAAGATAGAGAATTCATAACAAGCCGCCTTGTAGATTCTCTGTGTGTAAAACAGCAACTGCTTTTGTGGCAGGGAGATTTCATTTTAGTGTCTCCTCTTTGGCCCTCAAGAAAAAAAAATCTGTTCATTGTGTACAAAACCTTTTGCACTTTGACATAAGTCCTTCCAGCAGAATCCCTTTTTTTTTATTGAAACAAACTTAAACCATATTCCATTTCACAAAAGTGAAATGTGCTGAACATGTGCTTTTTAAAATAGAAGCATGTGCATCAACTCTTCTACTGGAGATACTTTCTGAGAGCAGTCTCCTGGGAAGGTCCATTACCCAAAATCCAGCGAGCACAGGAAAAGGGTGAAAAAGTATTAGATCAAGCTTTACTAGGCTGGATGGCCCAGGCTGTGGAATAAGTGATATTTAATACATGCACTTGGAGGCTCCTGTTGAGTGCCCTGTTTGGTAACCCGGATCAGGATGCTTGTTTAGTGGATAAAAGTGTAACTTTAGAAATTGGCAGGAACTTTCTGTGCTTGGCCACCTGTACTCTCAGCCAGATATGGTGTAAGGAGCCTCAGACAAGCACACTTTTCAAAGTTTGTTCTGTTTCACTTCCTTACAACCACCAGGTTCAAAGAACCATTTATTTAAAAAAAAAAAAAAAGCCTGTCTCAGTTCAAAGATGCATTTATGAAGCTCACTGGTCTTTATGATCAAGCTCATACTTTGTCTTCCCATTACTAAAATAATACTTTTATCCTGCCCTCTTTTTCCCCTCTCATCTGTTTTGTTATGAAAACATAACCATAATGAAGGTCTCAGGCATTGTATATTCCGGGCAATGTGATACCATAAGTAATAAAAATGGGATTTTTCTCTTGTTGGTGGAGTTTTTGCTGTCAATAATAATTGTATCAAAAATAATGTGAACTCCCACCGACGCCTGCACAGTCAATCAGCATAAAGTATTAGCACTTCAGGGACACAAAGGCTCTGAGCCTGATAAAAGAGATTGGACTGAGAATTTTGACCTAAGAATATAATAATGTCTTCCAAGATCTCATTATGCCCGTGCCCATTTGAAACCATCTGGGGCCCGGAATAATAAAAGGAGTGGTGTGAATTTATGAACCCATAGATCCAGCCATGCCCCCTTGGATATTGTGTTGGATTAGTAGATTTACTGCTAATCCAAACACTGTGGGCAAAATTATGTCTTTACATCTGCACTGCGGCTTTGGCGGAGCCGCAGTAACTTAAACGCTTGAAGGGTTGACAGCAGCTCCCCTGCTTCAGGCACAATCTTCTGGCACCCTGCCACCTTCCCAAAAGTGCAGCTCCTGGGATGCACGTCCTCCACGTCTTGCCGTGGCACCTCTCCAAGGGGAGAGCTGCTGCTCCTGGATGAGAGGGGCTGGCGAGCGGAAAGTCACCGGCACCGCGCAAACGAGGCGCGCTTGGCACAGGCAGGGATTGATCCGTCTTCTTCCACTTGCCTCAGGTGCAGAGCCCGAAGAGAAGAGTCTGCATTTAATTGGGGGTGTCTTCAGCTAAATAAAATAGTCGTATGTAAATCCTTTTCCCAAGGGGCAGCCGTGTGGACTCGTGACCTTTCTTTGAATGGTTTGGAGCCCAGAAATCAATGATTACACTAAATCCATAATTATATTCTTTTCATCTGCGGCAGGATACTGATAGCATGACAGATGTGAGACCTTGAAAGCATGAGAACTTCAAAGACCATTGAGATGTGTTACACACCATGGACATGTGGAGCAGGAAAAAATAAAATTAAAAATAGCAAGAGGCTGCTCCACCAATGCTTTGGGTGATCCCTCTCCTGCACATGTGTGTGCACACATGTACACATTTACACACGTGACCCAGATCCCCAGTGAACAGAACAACCTCAAAGAATTTAATATCTCCATTGTTGTTTCATTTTATCTCCAGAGACTTCCCAAAGAAAGAAGGGGTTGGGCTGGACCAGCCATGGCTGGAGACACTGCCTGGAACCAGGAGATGTGAGTGTGTACCAGTCCCTCTTGTGCTGCTGCTGGGGGACACGGCCAAGAGGGTTTGTTCTTCCAGGAGATGTTGCACAAGGTTTTTTTGCCTTTAAATGGGCAAAAGAATTGTACAGGATGATTACTTTTGTGCCTTGTAATAATTTGTTCAGAAAGAAACACCGGGTCAGGGTGGGGAGGGTTTGCAGTGGGTGTGAGGGGAGCTCAGCCTTCCCACCCAGACCCCAGACCTGGGACAGGTGATGTCTGGGGAGCCCTGAGTCCAGAGATGCTCCCTGGAGGAGGCTGATGTGAAAGGTGTGGGCCCTTCAGAATCACTGGGCAAGTGGCACAATCCCTGTGTGCCAGTGGAATCCTGGTGCTCCACAATGCAAGGAGATAAAATTCTGCATAGGTAGAAAAAAATAAATACTGTTTCTCATTTATACCACATTTAAAGCTTTAGTTTTGTTGTTTTGTTTTGTTTTTTTTTTCATTCAGTCACTGCCTCACAGTCTTGGCAAGTAGAGAATAAATGTGTTAACAGGGAAGGGGAAATGACATTCCCAACAATTCCTTGGTATTTGGAGCTGGGAATGTAAATCAGCATCTTACTGCTCATCACACTCAAAGAGTTGAAGGGCACAACATGGATATTTTTTTATTTATTGCAACTTCAATAAATAGCAAAACTATTCAGTGTTAATCCATATTATTTATTACTAGTGTTTACTCCTTAAAAATTCTGTGTGAATTAAAAATTTTGAGTGCAATATCAGAAATTAATTTGCATGAACTCTGCAGGATACTGTGTCAAAATCAGACAGTAAAAGCAATTATTTATATGTTTCTGGCACTTCACATCACATGGGTACTCATAACCCTAAACAGATCAAGAAATAAAGATATGAAGGACACAGATTAGATAAACGGAATATTTTTGGTGTCTGACATCAATACAAGGAAGCTTAGAACCATATAATTCAATCTTAGATTAAATTTCATAACATCAGTAATGTGGAAATGTAAGTTGAAAATTATCAGAGGGTTGAGTTTTCCATAAAATTTCCATAAACTTTTTGAGGTTCAGTGCAGATCTCTCAGAAATAAAAAAAAAGCACATACAAGAATAAAAAATCTTCCCAATATTACAAGAATTATTTAATTTCTGGGACCAGATCAGAGGATTTATCACTTTAGCATGATTATGAGATCCCAAAATATCATTCTGTCACTGATCTCAGAGCCTGAAATGCCTGAAGGATACTTGAGCTAGTGTTGTCTTGGATAAAAAGTCCAGATTTGGAGGGAACATCCCTTAAAAAGATTATTTTTTAAATAAATATTTGTTGTTTGAAGCTGGGGGGGGCATCTTTCAGGCTGGAAGTGTTTCCTCAGGGCTGCATTCAGTGACAGAGAGTAGCACAAGTAGGCACATGCACGTGGAGTTTCTCTCCTTCCTGCACAATTTATGGATAACTACAAAGCTTTTGGAAAGAGCTGAATTTCAAAACAGTTCCCAATTTCAATTTCCTGTGCAATTCCCAATCTGAGTGAAGCCCTTCCCACCACCTCTCTCCTTTGCTGTTTTTAATAGCTACTTACAATTCATTTCTCCCCTTGTTTCTTTCCCTTGGTTCTTCCTCGTGCAATTCCATTGGCATTGCTTGGCAGGCACCTCAGTGTTCCTTTCCTGGCCACCAAAGAAGCATCTTTGGGAAGGTCACTTGTTAAATTCAGCCAAATACTTGTGGAGAATTCCAAAATACCTGGGCAGAGACACTTCCATCACTGAGGTCTGCTCTTCAAGGCAGATTAATTGTTGAAGTGATGCACTAGTTGCGTGGGTATTATAAAGTCATTTTTTCATTCCTGTGAAAGAAGTACCATCCCCATTTCTCCAAATATTCAAATCTTACCTTTTCTGCCTAACGCAGGGGGCACCAAGATGAACAAACTAGTTATACATGCATGGAAAGTAGCAAGCTGAAAGTAATTGTGTATTCAGTTTTAATGGAGCTGAATCTCCTGCTGAGATTTCAATATCTGACAGCATTGCTTTCATTGCCCCAAATGCCCAACCTTTCTCTAATGTTTGACCTTGGGTATGATTATATTTCTGTATGTATCTCAAATGATGCAAAATCATTTGCCTATATCAGTCATCTCTCGCTGACAGTCTTGCTCCAGCTCGTGGCAGAAGAGAACAAGTCTGATGCCGTTAACAATAGCTAAAATGAGCTTTGATAGATGTTCCCAGCCCTTCAATAAATACATAAAGCATCTCTATAATGTCATTTTGTTAACTGATAAACAACAAAAGGATGAAGGCATTCACTTTTAACTATATTGCATGTCATTATTTTCTCATTGCCTTGCGTAGGGTAGAGAAGTAGTGTGACCTGCACAATAGAGGACAGGACTGTTGCTTTCAGTGCTGGTTATTTATATTCTTTGCTATTCCACCTGCTAAATGAGAGCTGTACAAGTGTGTGATAGGCTCTACCACGGCAGTTTTGTGTCAAGATGTTGACCCACAAACCTGGGTGTGCTCCTGGTGGTGGCACGTCACCCACAGCACTGGATTTACATCACTCCCTGCCTGGCATCAACGTGCAGCTCCTCATAGAAATGCAATTCTTGGGAATACCTCTTGATTTTTCCTCTCCCTGGTCCAGCCTGGTCCCAGAAGAGATTTATGTTGGACAATAGGAAGAAATTCTTCACAGAAAGGGTGACTGGACATTGAAAGGGTGACTGTCCAAGGAAGTGGTGGAGTCCCCATCCCTGGAGGTGTGCAAGAAGAGGTTGGATGTGGCACTCAGTGCCACAGTCTGGGTGACAAGGTGATGTCAGGTCACAGGCTGGACTCGATGATCTCAAAGGTCTTTTCCAACCTCAATAATTCCATGATTCGGTGATTATTGGCCTTGTAGTCCTTGCTCTAGAGAAGTTCTTGCGCCATGCTGGGCTGGCAGAGGTGGGTCCAGGAGCAGCATTTTTACGACATTTGCAGATGCGTACAGAGGTTTGGAGATGATGTAAGAGTAAATTACTGCAGCTCAGGAGAGAAGGAAGAGTTGCCTCCCATTCCTTGCATCCCCACAATGAAATGGCCATCGGGGAGGAGCTGGGAGGCAGCAGAGAGGGAAGGTGGTGGATGTGAGGAAAAGGGACTTTGGCTGGATGGGGACAAAGGGGCCGTTTTTGCAGCGTGGCTCCACCAGGCAGCCTCAGTGTGATTAATGTTCCTGTGTGGGTAACAAGAGCATCTCCCTGAAGAGGGAAAATTTGATAGGAGCCTCTTTTTTCAGATCTGTGTAAACTGGGCACATTATTTTAATAGTACACCATTAAGGTATTTATCTTAATTTTAAAAAATAATATTTCCCTTGTTGTTTGCAATTGCCCACTAGAAACTAAATCCCTTTCCTGTCCGAGGATCCTTTGCAGTCCTGAGCTGGTTGTTATTGCAGGTTGCCTCGGGAATACCGAGTTACTGAGTTTCAGACTTTCCTCAGAAATACTGAGGGGAGTTTAACAGCATCTGAAAACACAGATAAAGAAATACATGGACCATGCAAACAAAAGTAAGTGGGATAAAAAGGGATGTGTTTACCAGATGGTGCATGGGAAAAAAAAGGTGCACAAAGAAGCCCCTTGGTCTGACTGCAAGGCTTCTTGGGGATGCAGAGCACTAACCAAGTTCACTGGAGTTTGAAATCCCAAGGGCAGTTTTGGGTTTCTCGCTGTGCACTGCAGAAGGTGATTTAATAATTCATCTGAAACTGTGCAAAACTTTCTGTTGACTTAATTTACTCCCTCTTCAAGTAGAGTTTTAGTTTTTCTGGGAGATTTTAAGCCAGTATTGAGGAACTATAAATAGATGGAGGCCTAAACCCTGGGTCTAACGAGCTTCACTCATGTCTAGTCGAACCTGGACAAGTGGTTTGTCTGAATTTACAAAGAAAAATGGATACAGGGAGGCTTAAAGGAGTAAAATTTGCAAGTGCTGTACACTGATCTGCCTTAGTACAGGCTCTCTACTTCTCAAGAAACCGGGTAAAGAGAAATTAAGGCAAATCCAGGCCCTGGTGTGTAGAAGGGGGGAGAGATTTAGTGCTGGGAGCTACTGTCAAGCATTTGTTACACAAATGGAAGATTTCAACACCTTTCTGCTTCTACTGCTAATAAATGTCCCTGGTAAATTTACATTTCCTTCTCACTCACAAACATTCAAATGTTTCATTAGTAATTGCTGCTTTGTCTTTTAATATTAACTATCTCACTTCCAGTGCCTTTTATTTTGGCACATATTCTTAATAATTTGTGGAAAATACGGCAAGAGGTCAAAATGTTTATTGGTCACTTACTCCATTCTGGTGCCTGCATCCATGATGGCACCTTGTTTCTTCAAATAACATATTTAAACCATCAAGCTACCAATCATTAATGAATCGTAAACATCCATATTCTATTTTAAACACATTTTAGGAAATTTTTCTCAATTTTCTTCTTTCCAGGATGTGAATTTGACTTCCAGTAGGCCATCAAGATACTCAAAGTTCTGCAAAATATATCAAGAACTGAATCCACTCATAAACACATCTTGGAAATAGCTTTTAAAATAGAAAGAAGTCTTTCCCAAATAGAAAGAGCTTTTGTTTGAGGGAAGAAAAATCTGTCTATAGGTGATCTCTCAGATAAAAATATTTACACAGAATAAGCAGCTGTCCACAAATGAAGCGCAGACTCCAGTTCATTTTTTTCATTGCAGGCATGTGCATTTCTGGTAAAAAATGGATGTTCCAACTCAGAAAGTCAGAACAACATGTACAAGTGGCCCAAATTGGTTTTGATTAACAAGGTTTTCTGCCTGGAAGTCACTTTATCTTCATCCCATTAGCTGCACAACAAAATAAATGAATCTAATGCATTAGTCTGAGCAATGCTTTTGCAGGGTGAATGCAAAGAAAAATCCTCGC